GCTACTTATCTCTCTGTGAGTCATGGGGATAACAAAACTTTCCCCATGGGATTGTTGAGAACATTTAAAGGAGTTACTAAAGAGACAGTACTGAGAACTGCATGCTGCTGCTGCCCATTCTCATGATTTCAATTTCAAATAAAACACACACAGTGTGAACCCTGAGTGGGCTTCATTAGGGTCTGGGAGAACTGGTTTTTTTTCCATTTTCTACAGCACCTAGATAATTGAGATGGAGACCTCTGCCTAATGTCTGTAGGCAAAGATTTTGATGTCAAGAATGGGCAAAGCAAAGTCTGCAGTCTCATTGATAAATGCTTCCCACTGGAGAAAGGGTTTAGTATCATGTTCACCTTGTGAGCACCAATTATCACTTTATTGCTGTTAATATATTCTTCCCTATTAAAAAGAACAAAACTGTAAGATAAATTGCTAAACGGTCTTATTAATAAAAAACTCAGAGCCAGATATTGGGGCAAAAACTGAGATATCAGAGGAATAGAACAAGCCACAGCCAACCTCACCTTACCAACTCCTCAGCCTCCAGAGAGAGCTACTTCCTGTATACCCACGCCTATATCCTTTCTGTCCCTGCCATCTTCCTCTCTCTGCCCAGCTACATCACTTCCTCTTTCTGCCCAGATCTGTCACTTCCTGTCTGTCTGTACAGACCTCCAGACCTTCAGGGTTAACTAGTGTTGGAATTTAAGGCATGTGCCACCATGCCTGGCTCTGTTCCCAGTGTGGCCTTGAACTCACAGAGATCCAGACAGATCCCTGCCTCCCGAATACTAGGATTAAAGAGGTGTGCTACCATTGCCTGACTTCTATGTTTAATATAGTGGCTGGTTTTATCCTCTGATCTCCAAGTAAGCTTTATTTATTAGTGCACAAATAAAATACCACCACATAAAACCTTCAACATTTCCCAAATACATACATGAGGGGTTTGGTAAGAACAGGTGTGTGTCTGTGCAGGCAAAATTTTCCTGACAGTGAGATCTGGGGTAAGGGGACTGGAGAATGACCTAAAGATAAAATGGTGTCTGTGGCAGGAGAGAGTACAAAAGCTGTGAGTAGTGCAGGGAGTGGGAAGGGACACATAGTTTTATTTTCTATAGATAGGAAGCCATTTTGTAATGTTTCTTTTTAATGAAACCACCAAAACTCATTACCCAAACAAGAGTTGGAGTTGGAGAGACAGCTCAGCAGTTAAGAGTGTTTAATTGCTCTTTCAAAGGACTCGAGTTCAATTCCCAGCACCCACATCAAGCAGCTCACAACTGCTGGTACCAGCAGTTCTTGCAAGCACATGGTGCATGTAAACTCATTCAGGCATACACACACGCATACAGGAAAATAAAGAAATCTTAAAAAGAAGAGAGTTCCAAGGAGCCTGGCTAGTCATGTTGACAGTGACATTAAAAGGGGAGGCTCTGTCAGTGCTCTTGATAGGAAGATTTATGGTCAATTTCCCATCCTGCAACAGCAAGTCTCAGATCATAGAACATCTAGACCCCGAGTTTCAGCCAATCGCAGAATACCTGGCCTGTCTTTAGCAACTGATGTCTGATTGTCAGCTTGTGTCATGTTGATGAAGCATGTTCCCAAGGATGGTAGCCCACTAGAGCCAGTCCTGCAGTGTGTGGTAGTTATGTCCTGAAAGGTGGTTTCCCTCAAGACCAGGGCCCTGCTGCTGGGGCCTTGGGCAGGGATACACTGCCAGTGGAGCAGCTGTGCAACAGCCTGTGCACTGCCTCCCACTCTGTGTGCAAATATGTCATCGACGCACGATTCCTAAGCTGGATGAAAGATGTGTTCACATCTGTGCATAATCCGAGAAAAACCAAAACAGCTTAGAGGACAAAACAAGTAAGTCTGAAGTCGGCTACAGTCTTCCACGGAGCTGGGGACATAAGGTTCAATGGGAAAGCATGCATCTAGCATTTGCTAGGCCTTAGGTTCAACTCCCGGTATCACTATGAAAATAAAAGAAAATCAAATCAAACCTGCCCTGTGGGTACGAAGAAGGCTTTTTCCTCCACGTCTGAGAGATAAAAATCAAAGTATTCATGCAAGTGTATTCTGCTTTATCAGGCTCAGCTCTAGATATGGGGTTAATTTTCATTAGGGGTGTGTGTGTGTGTGTGTGTGTGTGTGTGTGTGTGTGTGTGAGTGTGATATGTGCATTTGTGTATATTTTAATGTTTAGGATCAGAGTTTATACTTGGCAAATTTTTTCTTTCTTTACTGCATTCAGTGCTTTTCGGGGGCTTAGAACTGCAGAGCCACAATTAGGCATGACCAAACTGGTTCAGAATGGTTTTATGGGGCCCTTCTCGCTTTTGTTAACATAGATATGGCTAGGTCTTTCCCATTTCTTCCATCAAATAAAGAGAAGTCCAATGATATTGTTAATTCCCAAGGATGGGAGGAGAAAGCCCACTAACTCAAATCATCATGGCCAAATTAAAACAAGCAATTAATTAAAGCAAGCTTTTTTATTCATGGACACAGGCTGCCTCCTCCAAGGCAGGGTTTGAGGTCAGTATTGGACATGAAGAAGACAGTTTTTATAGCTCAGTGGTAGGGGGTTTCTAAATGGGAGACTTGGCAGGCAAAATAGGGGGAGTTACAGAAGCAGAACATAAGCATAACAAGTTAGTCATAACAACCTCCTGTAGCAAAGGTGTGGTTGCAAAGTGGGCATAACAAGGTGGTCATAGAACCCTTTGAAACAAAGGGAAGGTTGCAAGATGGCTATAAACAACCTTTTGAAACAAAGACACCATTGCCATTCCCTGAACAGGCAGTGCAGAACCATTTGTAGTTAAGGTGACAGATGAGGCATAGCCCAGCCCTTGAGAAACATAGGTTTAATCATAAACAGGAATGAACCTAGTTTGTCTTTACTATCAGATGGCTTTCAAGCCTAAGATGGAGAAGGCTGGTTTTTCAAAATAGTCCAAATCAGAAGGCTGCATCTATCCAGTCTCACATCTGGATTCTTTCCAAGGTCTGTAGCATGCACATGTGTGTGTGAGAGAGGGGACTCTTTAGTATGTGATAACCATGGATTCTATCACTCATTAGTTGTTTGAAAGGAGACTTCTCGTTTCTAGTATGCCCCATAGGAAAATATTTCCCCTTCCTCATTCTTTCCCTAAGTTTTCAGCTTAAAATCAGACCAATGAGGTTTTTTGTTTTTGTTTTTCAAGGTCTTGATGTGTGACCCAGATGTTTGTTTTGCACTAACAATCCTCCTGCCTTGGTCTCCAGGGTGCTGGAATAACAGGTGTGTGTCACCGCATACACCTGTGGATTTTTTTAAAGCAGAAAGATCAGTAAGACAAAGACAAAAACTTCAGTTTAAGGGGCTGGCAGTGCAGCTCAGTGGTGGAGTACATGTAGAGGCAGTGGTTTTGATTTCTGACACTAAATAAATACACAAATCCCTTATTTTTAATTAGGGACACTGCTTCCAAGACAAAAGACTACATTTTCTGGCTTCCCCTGTAGAAATGTAACTATGTTCCTGCCAATGAAAAATGTTGAAAGTCATTTCCCCAGCTTCTGGAGAAGCTGATAAAGGAACTGAGGCAGTTGGGGGTGGAGCATGCTTTCCTTCCATTCTCTTTTCAACCTGGAATACAGGCATAAAGTCTGTTTTCAAATCGATGCGGATGCTGTCTGTTGACGCCAAGGGAAGTCAAAGGATGTTCTAATTATCAGAGAATAGACAATTTCTATTATCCCCTTTCCTCCTTGGTAGAGCATAGTCAATTTCCAGGACCATCTCTCCTCATCTTCTCACTCCTGCTCCCAACATGTTTTTCACAACATTCCCAGACAAGCCCAAGAATTGTTTTTATGATGTTCAGTAGAGAGTGAAGAATAAAGGAAAGGATACCCAAAGTATTTTCTTGGGGTATCACTGAGATGCTCATCCTATCAACCACATCCAATTTATTGTATGCACTAAGACATATGGTCCATGTTTTATGTTAGGGGTATTTTCACATGCTATAATAGTAATGAGTGGGATAAATTTTCAGTGTGGGAGGTAGAGAGGGTGGAAACATATCTGTTTGGATATTCATTGACTACCCAGAGCAAAACAGCTACAAAAACAAACAAACAAAAAACCCTTTCAGGTAAAAGATTTCACTTGAGTACCAGGAACTAATCAGGGGTTATGTTAGTATGTTAGTAGGCTTCAGACCTCCCAGTCTCAAAATTTTCCAATCTACCTCATTGAGCTTCTCAGGGTAGCTGCCCCAGATAGCTCCCTTAAACAGCTGTTGTTTATGAGGCATCTAGACGTAGCTGCTGAATGGCTCTACTAACCCATGTACCCTACCCAGTAGGACAGGATCTGTGCAGATAGGCTATAGGGAACAGCTCAGCCACTGTGGGACTCCAAAGAATTTGAGTCTATTCACCCCCACCCATCACATCTCTTTGGAAAAACTGCGTTGGTGATAAATTCCTTGATCCCAATAAAGGCTGTGTCCTTAGGTTCCTTTCTCTCTCCCTCATATGCTTTGGATGCCCCCCCAATGCCATGGTAGCTGTGCTGCCCTCTTCTCTGTAGGGTTTGTAAGTGATACGCCATGTGCTCTGTCTTGTTGCCTCTTCTGTGCCTCACCAGGCCACACACCTTGCCCAAACACTTTCTAGGTTCAAGGCTCTCCCAAAGTGTGGCTTTCTTGTTACAGGTAAGACACAGGTCAGACAAGAGCCACAAATCTAACTACTAGTATAAACAAGCTTCTAGGAGAACAACACATGGTCAAGGAGGAAGAATCCAGTGGAAGGCACACTCTACACAACCATGGTCATCTTTGCTTGAGGGTGGGACTAAGTCTACAGTCATTCTCCAGAGACATCTCCGAATCAAATTTGAGGAAAACTATAATACAATTATGCTTTGGAAACGAACTATTTTATGTTTTGTCATTTAAAATGAAATTTATAGCATAAAATTTGTATAAAATGAGAACTTTGTACTACTTTATTCAGCTTATTGTGAAAGTGCATGAATTCACTTTTCACTGACACATACAGTAAGAATATTTAATTATGACATTTTTCTTGTCTTCCTGAACTCACAAATGAGTCTACATTTTCTGAGTTTCCATGCAGAATATTGGGTACATTTCCATGGAATGTGGACAAAAGTACACATGCTATTTTCAGGCCTGTAGATTAAGCTCAATTAAAATGCCAAAGTTACTGGATGATCAGAGTCCAGGTTCCTGAATAACAACGCCATGCTCTTACCTTTGGTGAATTATGATATCCCACATTTTAAATTTTACAATGTTAAACAACTCAGATTTGGAAATACTTTGTTACAGCATCTAAACAACATATATTAATGCAACAATTGTTTTTCATGGGAAATAACGTGGACACTTCGTTATTAGTAGTAGGAGTCAGCTTGTGAGACACATCATTCTGTAAGCTCATGGTGATTCTTTATTCACATTGCTGCATCAGAAGAAGCTAATGCAAAGATCACATTCCCTAAATGACTTCATTTGACCTACTGGATCAGAATCAAGCAAGGCCTAGATGCTTGTCACTTCTGTAAGTTTAATGGCTCTTTCCTCATTGCTTTGGATCCATTTGATTTACTTTACTGAATTGAGTTATTTGTTTTATAGATTTTTAAATCAACATGTAATCCCATGGACCAGTTTAGCTTTATAGTTTTACAAACTACACACATTTTAGTTTCATACAGTAACCAGCCAGGTCAGAATAGGGACCAGTTTCACCAAAATACTGTCCAGTGCTCTTTGAAGTCTCACCTTTAGCCCCCTTTAATCATGGGTTTGTTTCTCATTGTTACAGTTTTGTATCTGGGATAACACCACAGAAACAGAATCATATAGTAGGTAACCCGTGGAGACAGGTTTCTTTAGGCCAGCATACTTTTCATATTCACTTGAATGGGTGGGTGCATATAGCAAGTGTATGTCTTTTTATAAGGAAGTATTCTGTTCTATGGACCTGCTACATTTTGCTTTTCATCCACTGTTGAAGGTCGTTGGGTCCTCTCTGGGTCTGGGAATTGTGAATGAAGCAACTATAAAATATTTAAATGTTTTCTGTGGTAACCTGACTTGTTTTCACTAGGACAGGTTATTTGAAATGTGAGTATTATTGATGTTTTGGAGAGAATTGTGTTTGGGGTGGGCTGCTTTGCAGCATCTCCACCAGTACTCAGCGGATGCAGAGCATCTTCCTCTCTCTGCCTTCTCAGGTGTTGCTAACGTCCTCTGGGGAAGGGCATTAATCCTCCTTGGGAGCACAAGAATATCTATTATCACTTTAGTGTGAACTTGCTATAGATAAATCTCACCTTTTATCTTAAAATGTCTCTATTCACATTTATGAAACAAATTTTCTCTATAGAATTTTAGTTTAGCAGTTGTTTTAGCACATTTAAAAGTCAATACATTGTTTTCTTGATTTTTAAAAATTTTATTTCATTTTTGAGATCATAATTTAATTACAATATTTCTCCCTTCCCTTCTTCCCTTTCCTCCTTCTAAGCCCTCCCATATACCCCTCCCCACTCTCCTGCAAATTCATGGCCTCTTTGTCTACTAATTGTTATTGCATGCATTTATATATATATATATATATATATATATATATATATACATATATATATAAATAACTAAATACACCCTGCTCAGTCCGTATAATGCTACCTGTATGTGTTTTCAGGGCTCACTGTTTGGCACCAAACAACCAATTGGTGTGCTGTTGTGCTGTTCTTCCCTGGGGAAGGCCACCTCTCTCACTCCCAGTGTTCCTCAGTTGTCTACAGTACTTTGTGCAGGGCTGAGGCCTCACAGGCTTTTCTCCTTCCAGTCTGCCATGTTCACTGATGTCATCCTTGTTTAGCTCACATTGGGCAGTCATGTTGGAGAGAATTTGTACGTGTAGCTTCTTCGTTTGCTTCCTTTTGTTTGGTATGGAGTGGGGTATCACTATATGTATACAGTCCTGACTGGCCAGGAACTCACAATACATATTATGCATTGAAAAATTTGAAATTATTGCAGGTGAATCATAATTTTTCTAGTTAGTTATTACATTATAATTTCCTAATTCAAACTTAATGTCAAATTAGTGATTATTATATCCAAGATAAATCTAAGGCCTAATTATTTCAACATGATTTCCTTATAAACTTATCTTCTCTTACCAAAGCAATGTACTTCACTTAAAACACAGAAGAAAAAAACAAAAAACAAAAAACAATCAGAGATCACAGGCTGACTGGCCAAATTTTGTATGTAACTATGGTTTAGCCCTTTCTAAGTTTACACACACACACACACACACACACACACACACACACACACACACACACACACACAGAGTAAATATAAAAATTTTAAAGAAAGTCACCACAAGTTGAGTAGATGAAAACTCCTGACATGTACCTATTGTCTCCTGATTTTTGATGATCAGGAGTGTGAGCACTGCTCTGCTGGGTCTTCTGCTCAGAGTCTCAAAAGGCTGCAGCCATGTGCCAGCCAGGGCTTGGATCTCATCTGAGAACTGTGTTGCTCCCCTAGGCTCACTGGTTTGGGGCAGAATTCCGTTCCCAACTTTGCAGAATGACAAGCGCTCAGATCCCCGAGGCTGTCCCATACTCTGGTATAATGTGTTCTCCACAAATATGGCGGTCGGTGTTTTCCAGGACAACAGGACCTCTGTTCCTTTGAACTGTTCTGACTGCTTCTGTATCTGACCTCGCAGGACTCTTTGATGAAGTTCACCTGATGAACTCCTTTGGCAAGTCTAACTTAAGGTCAAGTGACTCTGAACTCTCATTACATCTGCAGAATCTTCGTAAGAGGCCCTGGTAACACAAGCAAGGGACTGACATCCTATCACAGACTCAGAGGGAAGGGACTATTCAAGAGACTTGGCACCCACGTCAATCTCAGGAGTCACCTTAGAATTCTACCTACTACAAACAGCATGTCTAAGTAGCATTTTTGAGTTTTACTTCCACTCAGCTTTACACTTTATGTTTCAGATACTTTTGCAATATTGTACTGGTACTGTAGCTTCAGCAACCCAAGTGTTGAAATTGTATTTGCCTTTAATGAAATAAGAAATCTACTAAGTGTAATATCCAGTCAGAAAACTACCTTTTAGGATTTTAAAGCCATGTCCACTCTGGATTAATACTCTGTCTTTACCCTGTAGGTAGAAACACAAAGACAGGGTTCTGTTTTCTTTGTTTAAATAGGACAATGGTCACTGTAGCTGAAGAGTGACATGTTTCAGTTACAAGGGAGGACGTGAGTGTCCTTCAGTTTTTAAAAACACACAGTGTAAGCAAGGAAGCAGAGCTCCAATCAGAGCTTTGTGGTTGCTCAGGTCACGCGGCAGCCCGTGTCATTAAATGGCTAGACAGCTGAAATGAGCAAGCCGGACTGTTTGGGGGTCTCAGGGTGGCAACACACCTTTGTTAAGGGTTAAAGATATTTTGTGCCCTTTGATTAAAAAAAAATATTTTTTTAAGATTGTTTTGCCTACATGTATGTCTGTGTATCATGAGCCTGCCTGGTACCTGCAGGGATCAGAAGCAGGCATCAGATCCCCTGGAACTGGAGTTATGGGCAGTTGTAAACCCTATGTCTGGGCTGGGAACCAAACTCCAGTCCTGTGTAAGAGCATCAAATGCCCCATTTCTGCAGCCTCCTCCTTTGATTTTCAAAATTAGATTTTTTTGCCCCTCTATAAGTCCAAGTACCTTCTCCATTTTAACAGCAGAACCAATCAGTTATAATTTATTAAAGTAAGTTCATCATAATTTTGCCTGTCTTTAAATGATGTAAATATATTCAAAACTGTTCCAGTGTTTTAAGATCGTAAACATCATCTTAGGAAATTACAAAGGATGATAACTGTGTTAGCAAAACTATGAAATATCTTCATTCAGCTTTCAAATATAAAAATATACTGTTTTGTGCAACACTGAACAGTTAAGGCCAGAACACTTCAAGGAGGGTCGGAGGTACAAGTATTTTGGAAACTGCTCGTTAATATTAGTATAAATAAATATTAAATCTGTTCATACTGTTCAAACCAACCAAACATTAATTTTATCTTTTTTAACAGTGTTATCAGGAAATTTCCTTCAGAAGTCATAACATTTTTCAAGTATGAAGAACAAATGTGCTCGGTGACCACGGAAACATAAACATACATTTATAGTATTGTACAGGATTTGGACTTTCCCTCCATACTTGGTGTTGCAGTATTCCGAAGATTTTGACCCATGTGGTTCTGGTTGGCATCTTTCTTATCACTTTGTAAGGCTATTTGGTCTCCTATTGGCTTTATCTCTGGGAGAGGATCATTAGTATTTTGCATCATTTTCTGACCTGTCAATGACATCCGATTAAAGAAGGAAATCTAGCAAAAACACACAAACAAAAAGATTTCATTTCAGTAAGTAAAATATTCAGAAAGTACGCAGGGATATAATTGTTAACAGCATACAATAATCACATTTTAATGTACATATATGTACAACAATATGTTCTTAGCATCCAAACAGATTTTTCCCCTTTTATCAGAATGCAGTCATGACTAAAGACCTTTCAGGTTATAACTTTCAACACTATCTTCAGAATATAACATTATGTTTCTTCAAGGGTGAAATCACTCATCGTTAACATTTAAACGTAAGAAGACGGGGTCATTTGGGGACTTTTCTGGTATCACTGCTGTACCTTAACTACAGATAACTTCTGCTGTGATAGTCTAGAAAAAGAGAGCACAGCTCCATATTCCTGAAAAACTGGCAGAGTTGCCAAATGAAGGCTGTGTGGTGCTTGCATGTGAGTCCTCGGCGGGAAGGACGGAAGGGAGGGGCGCGCACGGACTATAGATAACAGATGAAAAGAGCAGGGACCCTGGGTAGACACAGAAGACAGTCTAAGAAAGGCTGAAGAGAGCAGTAAGTGAGAGGCAGGCAGATGTGGCAAGCTGTCCCCGAGGACTGAGGACTGGAGGGCCAACTGGAACACTAAAGCAGCTTGGAAGTCAGGGAAGAAAACATAGTAAGAAGGGTACGGCCTATGGGGCCACGTGCAGGAGACAAGCAGGTAAGACTGTCATCTGAGGACAAAGGTCTCATCTGACTTAGGACCTCTGAAGATTTATCCAGGAAGAAATTAGTATCCTTCACCCTGTCTCAAACTCCTCCCCCAAAAAATATTGCTTTTAAGAGATGTCAAAACTAGGAAAAAACAGAAAATAAAAAATTCATAAGGATATGTGAGGCTTGTTCAGAAATCAAAGTGGAGCTAATAATAATAATAATAATAATAATAATAATTCACCTTTAACTTTAAGATGAAGGTAACTAGAGTAAAATGCAACCTATAAAGACTTCTAGCAAAAGGTTTATGGATTAAAATGGAGGTACTCCTTGACTTGCTATATTGGAGGGTACCCATCTTGAAAAATTTCCCCCCACAAAACAGCAAAAACCTCTTACTAAGTTAGGAAAGTGTAACTTTCTAATATGTAAGTAATTTCTCAAAAATTTAAAGACAATTCCTATGGGCCCTAAAATAAAGAATCAAGCTTTGGGGGTGATCATTGAAACAGCATTTGTGAACCCTGTAACCTAGATCCTGGGTTTATAAGAATTCTGAGTTCACAAAACATAGGGAATTGGACTGAATCACCCTTACATAATGTAGGACCCCTCAAAGGACTGTTTACTCTATGTAAGTCCACCTAAACACAGTAAGAGAAAAGGAAATAACATGTGTCACTTGGTTTGTGAATGATGAAGAAACATGTCTTGCTAAGGTAAGTTTGATGTTCATATGACCAGTGTGGGCAGGTATCCCTTAAAAGAGACATTAACCTAAAGCCATTTCTGATCTAACAGACAAACTAATAAACATTCTCTATGGATGGACTGATGCTTAGCTGGGCTTTAGAGGATTTACATGCAACTGTCCTGATTGAACATGCATTCAATCTAAATTTCAGAACATACACAGAAACAAATCACTATGATTAGTAAGTGAGTCAAAGCAACACATAGATTTTTGAAACAGGAGGATGGCTAACATTAAAACTGAGAAGTCAAAAATAGAAAATGAGTATGCTTAATTTATTTAAAGCAGAAACTATCACAACAATTTGAAAACAGAATAAACGTGAGTTCACTTAAAATGCAAGGGGGAAAAAGCTGGAGAGATTGTGTAGGAGCATTTGTTGCTCTTCCAGAGGACCCAAGTTTGGTTCCCAGCACCCACATGGCAGCTCACAGTCTGTAACTCCAGTACCAGGGGATGTGATGCCATGTTCTGCCTTCTGAGGTGCACAGACATGCATGCAGGCAAAACACAGAAAATAAAAATAAATAAATCTTTAAGAAATGGGACTGCAGAGAGGGCTCAGCAGTCAAGAACATGTGCTGTTCCTTCAGAGGACCTGGCTTCAATTCCCAGCACCCACATGTTGGCTCACAATCCTCTGTTAACTCCAGTTCCAGGGACTCTGGTGCCCTCTTCTAGCCTATGTGGGCATATGATGTATGCAGGTAAAACATTCATACACAGAAAAGAAAAATAAATCTTTTTTAAAAAGATTTATTTATTTATTATGTGTACAGTATTCTGTTTGCATGTATCCCTGCAGGCCAGAAGAGGGAGCCAGATCTTTTTTTTTTAGCTGAGGATCAAACCTAGAGCCTACCACTGAGCTAAATCCCCAACCCAGAAAAATAAATCTTAAAAATAAAACGCAAAAAAATTATTGAAATTAGTACCCAAAAGGTATACTAAAAAGAAGAACAGTTTCAGCCAAAAAAGAACTATAAAGTCAATAAAAACTAGGAAATTGCCCTAAGTATCAAGAGACATAGGAAATATTAAATTGATATTAACCATATTAAATTGAATTATATTAAAATTAAATTAAATTGAAATTAAACACATTAAACTGATATTAAACACAAACAAGAGAAAGAAAATATTTATGCCATATTCTGAAACAGAGATACAATATTCAAATACATAATAGATAACAAATTTTAAAAATACAAATTAAATGACTTCTCTAATTCATGGATCATAATAAATTTCAACTAGGTTCAAATAAAGAATACATATATATGCATGCTACAACAAACAAAGACAATCTAAACAATAAGCACAGATAAAATTACAGGTTATATACAAAGCTCTCACCAATTATGCTAAAATAATATTTACTTTGCAGTGCTGGGGAAGGAATACAGGGTCTGAAGCACACTAGGCAACTGGTCTACCTGAACTGTACATCCAATCTGCCTCTAAAGTAGTATTCTTAATAGCAGCAATTGGAACAGATACAAGACTAGCCAACTAGCCATACTATTTACCATTCAAGAACTATGATTAAATAGAAATATACTCAAGCCAACAGAAAATGCCAAGTGTGAACTACCAAAAGACATCTACGGAAACAACTTCCAAAGGATTTCTTCAGGGAGAATAAGGATCCCAGAAAGGACATCTGAGAAGTAAAAAGTAATGGTGAGCAGAGCATATGGTATTAAAAACAAGTAACAACATGGTTTGTGACATTACTAAAATTAAATCATTGTGGGTACAGTAATTTGTAAAATGGGAAAGAAGGGATGGCAAGGTAGAAAAATATTTTAAGATTCTGATATTATTTGAGAAAAAGATAAGAACATTGGTTAGTTCCAGACATTAGGTATGTATGGAAAACATTCAAAGTAAAAATCCTGCTGTTCAGGCTATTTACAATATACTCGTCTAAAATACTAGTAAAAAATAAGTATAAAATATTTCTACCAGGCAAATGATAACAGAAGAAAGCTAACTTACTAAAAACATGAACCACCACGTTAAACTCTTTGCATATTTTGGGGTTATAAAACTCATTAAGGAACTCATAGTATGTGCATTAGCATAGGAAAAGTAGAATGTGAATTCAATACTTCAGTCTTAACACCAAAATGCAAAACTCACTTCACTTACCTTTTTAGACTTTTTAATGTCTTTATTTGTTGATTCACTACCTCCCAGAATTTCTGAAGAACTGCTCTTTATACGATCATACATGTGTCCTACAATTGGATATATATAAAAATATTATCCTAACTAAAGAGAAAGAAAAGTGTTGATGTTTACAGAAAAACTTTATCAACCCTGACTTGTGAGATAATACAAAAAGAGCTCACTACTGGAGAAGTGGGCAATGGCGTACCACACAGTTCCTGAAAACTGGAGTCAGTTTGGGTTAGAATCCCAGAATAACTTAACCAATGCAAAAATATTTGGATTATGTGTCCAAATATTTCCTACTGTGAAGAGTTATTGGAAAATGTTAGAGATGTGAAATATATACTGGAAATGCTAGAAGAAAATGTGGAAATATAAACTATTTTTAAATGTCTGTAGGTGGAAGGCACACACTCAAGTGTGTATATGTGTGTGTAGGCCAGGGGACAATGGTTGATATCTTCCTTTACGCTCTCCACCTTATGTTTTGAGACAGGATTTCTCACTGAACCTGAAGCTCACTGACTGGGCAACACCAGCTAGCCAGAGTGCGTGAGAGATCTGCTTGCATCTGCCTCCCCAGCTCAAGGAATACTGGGGTATATTATCATATCTAACTTTTCAATGTGGGTGCTGGGGTACAAATTCAGGTATTCATGATTACATGGCCAGGGCTTTAATGATTGGGCTATTTTTCTGGCCCTTACATTACTGATTTTATTAACTGTAGTGGGAATTTGCTCTGCCCATGACCTTGGGCTATCTGGCCTGATAGAGGCAGTGCTTCTTATCTGCCTATGTGACTGCTTAAAAGGGAGAAAGGAGGTTGCACTCTCTTGGGTGGTGAAGACCAGATTGGGCAGCGTGTAGCAGCATATGATGGGTCCCCAGCTTTCCAAGGACTCTGCAACTGGATTTACCTTATCCTGTATCAGTGAGTCTGTTTTCTCCATAGAACCCCTTAAATATAATATATATATATATATATTTTCGAGGCTCTTGTTACAATTAACTCTATTTTATTTTGATTCTCTGCACTCAAATGAACATGTTACTTTTGATGTTTCAAGCTAATTCATACATTATATAGCTGAATAATAATCTTTAAGAGAAAATTCATGAAGCATTATATTCTTTTGGTTTGATATAGTCAACCATTTGAATCTTACATTCAGTTTCTTTTTAACACAACTGGCTACATTCTAAGAATCCTTAATGGTGATAGTACTTTAGCATTTTACTAAAAATAATCTAAAATTTAATACTCTTTTTGTAGAAGTTCTAAGAACAAACAACTGAGAAAACTATTTTTTCTTCTTTAGTTCAGATAGTCAGTACCATGAACAGTTATTTTATTTATTTCTGAGGTACTGGAGGTCAAACCCAGGGTCTTGACTATGCCAGGCAAGTGTTGTACCACAGAGCTACATCCTATGCCCATGAACAATTCTTTCTAATTAGAACACAGTAGAATGCACACTGTAAAGTGGTGATGTAAAAATATAATGGACAAATCTTAGAGCACACACACAGATGGGTTGCATCTAAAACACAGAGTGCAATCACAGTCTCCTGTATTATGAGCACCTGTTGCTACACTAACAGGCTTAAGAAAAGGTATTTATTCAGTGCATATGATGACATTAGAGACACAGGTCCAGGCCCGAGGGGAAATAACTGAGTTCCAGAATAGCCTGGTCATATTAACTTATGCAAAGAGGTCTCTAGCGTTTGACAGAGATTAAGTTGGATTTGAAGCAAAAGTCCAACTTAATACTGATTGAGTAGGGGGAAAGAAGAGGTAGATTTCATTCTAAATCCCCATGGGTAATGAGCATAGAGTGGTGTATCTGAAGAAGTTGAGAAGTTAAAAGTGAAATGGATAAGCCTACTTAAAGGATCATGTGAAAGTAAACATTGTAAGAATCTTGCCTCTTTAAAACTATCATCTCTGATTTACTTCCGACCTGCCATTCTATGTACATTACAGCTTACTTAAGAAAATGGAAATTTCTTTCCACATGTTTCCTCAAATGCCCTGGCCAAGCAAGACTAACATTTGTATTTCAAACACTGGAATGACATGTACCATTTTTTCTCCATTCCTTTTCATAGAATTAGCTCATGGATCTCCATATTTCAAGGTTTTAGAGAAATATGGGAAATAGATATAATATTGGAACAGCATTTTTTGCCCACATCATACATCTCATTGATGATAAAAATAATATTCTTCAGAGGGTTGAGGGACTAGAGAGATGGCTCAGCAGTTAAGAGTGTATACTGCTCTTGTAGAGGACTCAGGTTCAGTTCTCTGCATCCATATCAGACAACTTCCACCCATTTGAAACTCTGGGTCCAGGGCATTTCCACACAGACACACACAGACACACACAGACACACACAGACACACACACACACACACACGTGATTAAAAATAAGACGAATTTAAAATACCATTTGAAAGTCAAATGTGCTCATACCTTTTGGATTTTCATTGTACTCACAAAGGGTCCGTTGCAGCAGGCTGATGCTGTCTTCCTATAAACCATAAAGAAACAGTATGACAACACACAAAAAGAACTTACCTCCTATGTTTGTGCTCTGTTCAAAAACCTAGTTTTGGTTTAAAAGCACAGCTCTAGAGCCTGTCTCTAGTTAATAACATAGGTGTGTGATAAATGCTCCCCTTCGCTGGGATCCTATGAAATGGGAAGCCTCAGATGCTCAGTGATGGCTAATGCCCTCACTGACTCTAAACCAGGCACAGTGGCCCACGCCTGTAATCCTCAGGAAGCAGCAGCAGGTAGTTTCCACAGCTCAAGGTCAGTCTGGTCTACACAGCAAGTATGAAGACAGCTAGGGCTATATAGCTAGACCTTGTCTTTTTTAAAAAAAAACAATAAAAATAAGTTTATGAACTTAAGAAAATTGTATGATTCCATCACCCATAAGATGACTAAAGAATGCTAAATGACACACAATTTCTCTCAAAAATTTATAATAAGAAATGGGTACTTAATGCTTTCTTTAACTGACCACCAAAACCTGAGTTAATAAAAATGTCCACAAACAGGATATTTTTTTCTTTCTGTAAGAAAACAGTAACTGCCTGAACAATTTTTTTCCTCAGTGAAAGTAAAGAGTCTTGAGAAATATAGAAACCAAGAAAAAAAATGACTTCTACATGACAATAGTATCTTTAAAATTAAAAATGGCAGGCACATAGTTGAACATATCTTTAATACCAGCACTTGGGAGTGGGATGGGATCACGAGTTCAAGGCCATCGTCAGCTACATAGTGAAGGTGATGCCAGCCTGAGCTATAAGACACTATAGAAAAATAAGAGAAAAACCAGGAATACAATATATACTTTTAAAATACACATTCAAATATAAGGTATGTTTTGGTAGTTGTTTCTGTTAGGAGAAAGAGAATGATTTTTTAAAAGAGTCTTATAGAGCAGGAATGAGAGTATTTCATTAACTAGAAACCATAACTAACTCAGTGGTTTGTGAAAGTAATTGTGAAGGAAAATGAACACAATGCCATTCCATTTGGGTTTCAGCAGTCCACACCTCTGAAATGAATCTGCGTACTGTTCGCAGTCTTGACTGCATCCACGACAAACAGTTATTAACTCAAATATTGCTATAGCCTTGTACATTTACATGTGTGTACGTAGGAATGTATGTACAGACCACATATAATTTCTGCCACCAGAACCTAGGTTTCCAACTTTTTATCTTAAGCATTTCAAAGACAGATACCCAACTTTCTGGTTCACTTCCCAAGAGTATACTATCTGTACCCATTTCCACTCATGTAGGAATAAAATAGTACCTAGCAGTATGGCCAGTACGCTAGAGACAAGGTTTGCTGAATTCCTAGCCTAGACAAGCCTACTTTTCCAGTTTATGAATGAAGTGACACATAGATACATTTCTGCTCCCATAGGAAACTGCAATCCACCCTCTTCTTTCTCTCAGGACATAAGCCCTTGCCATGATACCTCTTTAGTGATTTCTTCTGGGTTGTCATCGATAGCATCAATGGTTTCTGAGCCTTCTGTCCTAGGAAGGCCATCTTCAGGTAAACTTTCTTCTTCTCCAGTTTCCTTCACTTCTTCCTTCCTTTCTTCTTCTCCAATGTCTTCTACATTTGGGGCACTAATTTGCTTATAAATGTCTTCTGGTTCTGGTTTCACAGGTTCTGAAAGTTGTTGATTCTGTGACAAAAGTGATCGTAAAGATTTCCTTTTTTTAATGGATAGAAGATAATGCTATTTATTGTAACTTATATGATCTCAATGAATGTATACACTATTAAATCACATTTAGAAGCCGAAGATACAAAATACTGGAGACTTCATGGTGAGCATCAAGATACTGCATCAGTAAGGATCTCATGTCTGTTGCCCTGTGTGCATCTGCTGTTTTAAGACAATGCCTAGTGTTCCTGAAAATCTGTTAGTAACTATGGTAAGGCCAGCCTGGAAAAAATGCAATATATTTTTTTGGCTTTCCCCAAACAATGATCTTAAGCTTGAGAGAAATTAAAAAGCTTTTTCTTCACTATAGCATTTTAATATAATAATATCTATGTATTATGCTCATTTTCTAAAACAGGGATTTAGAGTACCCCCAACCCAAATTCATAATTCACTTACATTTATGAGTGAGGTAAGCATAGCTATTTATAACCCAGAAATAAAGAAAGTGAACACATTTTAAATGCTATTAAACATAGTATTTTTCACTAAAAGTCACATAAATTGTGGCACTTTGAACTTGTTATAAACACATCTGCATAACTACTATAAACCGCAGAAAACACTTACCTTTAAAATTGAGATAATTTAGGAGAGATTGGCAGAATACTGTCATTTTATAAAAAGAAAAGGTAAAATTTAAGTACATTCTTAAGATAGTCTGGAATGGTCAAGTACATGTCTTGTGTTAGGACCATAGTGAAGAAGTGAATGAGTGAGACAAGCGCAACTGAACCATCATTTCATTGGTCACACACCACAGTTAGCTCTGGTCTTCAGTTTGTCTCAGGGCAATACTCTTTGTACTTCTTGTGAGGGCTATCAAAAAAGTCAACGTTCCTTTGTGATGTTTCAGTTTGCCACAATATCCCAGATCCTATTACTATAAAATGGGTGAAGTACGCACTCGCTTTTTCTACCTTCATCTCCAATCTTTATTCTAGATTAGTACCCTGACTGCTAAGACAGGCAAGGAGAAGGCTGTTCTGCACCTACCAGAACAGCCATGGGACCACAATGAGCAATGAAGATAGGGTACCCTGGGCTAAAGCTTTATGCCAGAGGAGCCTTAGACTCTAGTGCTCAATGATGCTGATGTCCTCTAAAAAGGGCTCTTTAGGGAGGAAGGGAGGGAGGTAAATACATAAGGAGAGAGGAGGGTAAACTAACAATAACAATGTCTGAAAAAGTCAAAAGAATCATACTATTAACTGTCTAAAAGAATCTACAATACATGCAATTATGTGTCTAAAGATACATATATAGATTAAATGAAAATGTATCATTTGGGCTGAAAATGGTCCCTCTGAGTGTCAACAATCACCTAACAAAACCCCAACACCAGACATGAGAAGCCCTCCTTTGAGTTGTTGCTCAGGGCTGTCCAAGAGGCTCCCAAAACATATAGGCTGCTGCTATTTCCCCTGGTTGACTCCTAGAGGTGGAATGTAAGTTCCTATTGCTGAAGGCACCAGAATTTCAGGGCCTTAGAGGCCTCAGAGTTGGAATTGACCTGAATGTCCACTTTATGAGGACTAGCTTTCATAGTACCAGAAGGCATCAGGCAAGTTTCCAAAGGAGGGAAAGCAACCAACATTCCTAGTTAGCTATGATGCTTATGAACCACAACAATGATGAGCATGGTTCCATAACCCTAATGGTGCTGTAGTGGCATGCACACCTTGTCAGTAACCAACAGCTCTCTAATAGGACACAAAACCCTTCAACAAAAAGGACACCATGCCAACTACTTAGTGCTAGTGAAGTCATGGATACTGGAGGAAAACCTATAACCACTACTTTACTAACTAACAATCACTAACAGAAATATAGACATTTGTTGTTGTACCCACACATGAATGTAGTCCTCACCATTCATCAAGGAAATGACTCTTTGCGACAGATGGAGATCATTATAGAAAACCACCAACCAATCAAAGTCCAGTGTTGGGGAGCCCAGGCCTAACAGTTACATCCACAACACACTCCCACACCTAAGGCTCAGGGAACATCTTGGAAGAGGGGACAGAAAACTCAAAAGAGCCAGAGGAGCAGGGAGGTTGCTTTGAGACTGTGTCTCTCAGTAATGTGAGAAGCAACACCCGCCAAGTCTTCCCAACATGACAGCTTAAACATGAGCTGCACAAGGACACCAACAGACATGCCAAAGTGACAGGGAAAAGCCCACGAGGCCTCAACCCTACACAAAGAACTAGAGGCAGCTGAGAAATCCTCAGAGTAGGAGTATTAGTTTTCCTAAGGAAAGGGCACACCAATTGGTTATCCAATACCAAATGGTCAGTCCTGAAAACACACAAATGAGTACATACTCATGAGTAACATTATACAGACTTGGCAGGTTATATTCAGGAATACATATGTATATATACATACACATATGTGCATATAGTAACAATTAATAAAAAAGGAATCCATGACAAGAGAGCAAGGAGTGATATATGGGAAGTTTTGGAGGAAGGGGAAGGGAGAAATATTGTGACTGTATTCAAACCTCAAAAAAGTGATTCTGTAATCAAAATTTAAAACAATTTGGGCAAAGTTATAGAGTTTCTTTTAAAGCTTTTTAACATTCTAGCACACATTGTAGACCTTTTGGAGTGTAACTATGGAATATTTCTTTTTTAAATGAAGTTATTATTGGTTCAATTTTTAAACTGACCATTGTGATTTGATACCTAAGGTAACACATGAGATCTTGCCAAAAAGTATCTAATTGTTCATATTAAATTTTGTATTTAATGAAAAACAATCAAAGTTCCTCAAGTTTTCTATCCTTGCTAGCATTTAGTATGATGCTTTCTTGCTATTGGAAATTGTAACAAGTATCGGTAAGATCTCCTTGTTGCTGTAAACAGTGTTTTAGATGGTAAGCTAAATCAAACATTTACTTGATTAGCTATTTTTTGCTTAGTTGATCTATAGCACTTTGTTTTTAAGGGTAATCAGTGGAGGGCTGGGGTTGAGTTCATGATTGTTGGACGACAGAAGCTCTGGTCTTCCCCAAATCTATCCAAATAATTTGATGTTTTCCCTACTCACTGATGTTTTAAACATTGCAGATTATTTTATTTCCTAAGTTCTTAACAAGGACATCCTATTGTCATGTTTCATTGTTTGCACCAACTGCAAATTAAAAGTTCGGAAGTCTTATCCCAAGTATACAAGTCTCTGCATTGTACATCTCCCTTCCTGATCTGAGAACCATGGCAGCAGCTCTGGCTGATAACTGTCAGAATGTTTTTGTGCAAGGCAGACTTCTTGGAGTTCTGCTTTTTTGCTGTTAGTGTTAGCCCTAGCGCTGCATCAGGCCACCCCCCTGCCTGGCGCTGTTTTGCTGCCATCAGTTCTTCCTTGAAACCCATTTTTAGCTTTGGTTGCATTTTTCTTTCCTAGAATATACCCCACATCTTTTCTCTAAGTTTTGTTCCTCAATTTCATTACTATTCTTTTACTCTAACCCAGTGCTTCTCAACCTTCCTAACGCTGCAACCCTTTAACACAGTTCCTCATGTTGTGCTGACTCCCAACCATAAAATTACTTTGTTGCTACTTCACAACTGAAATTTTTCTGTTATGAACCGTAATGTAAACATCTGATATGCAGGATATCTGACATGTGATCCCCAAATGGGTTGCGACTCATAGGTTGAGAACCACTGTGTTTAACCACTCACTGATGTTTTGCCTGAATCCTGCCTGAAGTATGTTTTCACTAGATCCAGTTAACTGTATGCATAAGCTAGTGATCCCCAGCCACCCTGACCGAGCTCCAGACACATATGGTGACCTGCAAACTGAACTCCTGGAGACCATCAAAAGCTAGCAAGTGCAGAACTGTCTCCCTGAACGGTTCCTACTCCCTTATTTGCAGTCACACTGAACAGCATTTTTCTACTCAGTTCTCGAAGCCAGAAGAAGGGTTTCCCTTTCCCCTTCCCTCCCAGCTACATCTTTGTCCTAAGCCCTCCAACTCCTTGATACATAGCTCCACATCCTCATCCCCAATATCCTACCCCACGTCTGTTTCTGTCTTTACCTCGTCTACTATGACTGGCTGCTAACTTCCATCCCTGTGGTCCTGCTTGCTTCAAATCATTCTCCATACTGCCATCAGAATAACCGTACAAAATCTCAAGTGCAGTCACCTTATTCTTTTTCCTGTACCATCTTGGATGAGTACATAAGGCCCTTTGCTGGGTGAGCTCTAAATCAACATGACTCATTTCAAAGTTTCCCTACTCACTCCTGGCAAGTTCATTCTCAACTCTTCCATGTGGGAGCTGAAGTTACTCTGCTAACATATTCTTTGGTACTAATGAATTTTCCTGTTGGCTTATAGAGTCCTCTAAAATCAGGGGCCACATCTTATGTCTTACACAGCCCAAATACAACACCTTTCTTCTCTTTAATTAGTCCACTTTAAAAAAGCAAGCCATGCATGTATTTTGGAGCTGAATTTTCATCTTAGGGCAACCTTAGTTAAGGACATAGGAGTAGAAAAACAAACAGCACTGTTAAGAAATAGTCATACATATAATTAAGAAAAAAACATCATAAAAATGAAATCATGGCAGAGGCACCTTGGAGTTTCCAAGTGGTCTTTGGAGAAATATATCTTTAGTCTTCCTGCAGTTATGATGGGGGGGGGGGAAGAGGGCTGTGGGAGGTGGATTGTAATCTGCCCTCACTCTGGAGGTCTGACTTGAGGAAGACCACTCATTTCTTGGTGCCAGACACATAAATACTTTTTCTAATAGTGTGTACCAGGCATTAAACTATATGTTAGGAACTAATCATGCCACATGACCGAATTTTCACAATGGAAATAATTGAGGAAAAGATGACAGGACCTTCCTTTACTATTGCATTGGTGGGAAAGAACATATGTCCATGTAAGCTGATCTCTACAGTGAATCCTTACCAATCAAAGCACATTGCAGCATCACTCACCTGGATGGCTGCTACTGAGCAGCCATAGATGTTCTGCAGAAATTCTCTGCAGCTTACCTGAAAGTCTTGCTGCCAGAGTCCGCATTAGAAAACTGTAACTCAAGGGATTCTACATATGCAATACCTCACATTCCCTGCAGTAATAATTAGCAAACTATAGCAAATACTTGAGCAATTAGCAGATTTACCATGCCTGTAATCCCAGAAATGGAGGGGTAGAGACAGAAGGGTCAGAAGTTCAAGGCCATCGTTGGTTATGTAGTGAACAAAATACTTTCTAAGCAAGTCTGGGCTATGAGAGACCCTGTCTCAAAAATAAAATAAATAAGAAAGATTTAGCTATTGAAATCTATGTAACCAGCTGTCAAGTCACAGGGTGGTCTTATTCTTCACTCTTCTTTTTCTCTAATGATGAGATTTATACATATGGAGTAACTTCTACTTATGAAAGCTTATGCTCTTTTATACCCAGTCTCAATGTGTCACTAACCACCACCAATCTCCTATCCATAAGCTTTGCCACATGTATTATTTAATAGTGTTAGCTGAACACTGGGCAGAGAAAGTTAGCATGCTTTGTTTAGGGCTATTGCTCACTATAACAAGAAATCCATATAACGTTCATTTGCTTGAAAACTGGGTGACTTTTGCGACTAAACTTAAACCTTTTTTTTAATTGAGGAACAGGGATAGCAGAAATTCTGGTGTGACAAAGCTCTAACAAAGCTGTTCCTATCACTTAGGTCTCCCATTCTAATTCTGTGTGTTTCTAGAAAACACAGACACCTACAAAGGCAAAGAAGCTGGTGTAACTTCCTACAGCTCGAAGGCACACATAAGTGGGGCCCTGAAATGACTACGGAAGCGCTCTTTTGACTATAACTTGTAGGAACTATTACTTCTAAAGGGTGCACCAAGTTTTGGGGCAGGGAAATGCCAAGAAATTGGTAGAAAATGCTGCTCAAAAGTGGCTATCTCTATCAGTTCAAACGGTGAAATGGGTGTGCTCAAGAATATGACTTGAGTATTGCTGGCTGATTCTCCTCTTGGAAGACCAATGCCTCTGCCTTTGTCATGAACAACTGGAGTTTAGATTCTCATCTCCCTGGCATTCTCTTATGAATTTCCTTTATGACCTTCATGTCTGCCATCCCTCTTAATCTTTTAAAATCTATTTTTAAATAATCACCTTTGGTGCACATCCTTTATCATACTATCAATTCTACTCTACAAGCAATGAATATGGTAGACTTTGGACAAGGACTGAAGCATCACAGCAATGTAGTCCATTATTCAGGGGAGCCTACCAACTATCTTTGCTGCAAGTTATAATTTACAGATTACTCATCTGATTCTTGTCATTTATCTCACAGAGAATCAAATGTATGGAGTTCAACTACACAAAATTCACGAAAGTTACCATGAAAGTCTTCCTTGAAAAATGTGTAAGAAATCACTCAAGCCCAAGGTATGGAACAGGATGAGAAAGGAAATAAATGAAACAGCAGTTAAGACTACACAATCAAACTAGCTACATTCTATAAATCTAGTGGAACCTGGCTTCTCAACAATTCAGTATCTAATGTTAGACAGTTTTTCTTTCCACAAATAATATTGAGTATATACATTCAATCTTTATTTTACTTGAGACATTCTGATAAGCAACAGATAAACAGAATTACAAAAGTCAATGAAAATACATTGAGGACACATAACACACATGGAGAATGAAAGCTCTGACAGTTGAGTTAAAACAGAAATTACTTGAGTTAAGAAATTTACAATTACAAAAGAGACATTAAAATTATCATAACTTTTAAGAGCAGAAAATGAATTTTAATGCATAATTTTCTTCCTTGAAACATTTAAACTTCTATTATGTGATATATTATGTGTTTAAGTTGACTGTTATTTCATGATGACAGTCATGTTATCATGATGTCCTATGCCTAGGCAGCAATTACAAAAGATTACATCATTAGCCTCAAAGGCCTGAAAAGACCTGTTGCTTTATAGATTTTTATCAAAAGGGACAAAAAAAAAGTAAAGGAAAAATGGTATTCCTTTAAAATAGGAATTTCTCACCTCAGTTATGGTCAATTATCATCAATTATCATCAGTGTCATCAATTCTTATAAAAATATTCTAGGTGGTACAGACTGAAAAGGGGTACTTAAATATGTATTGAAAATCAGAAGTTTTGATAGCCCTTAAGCATCTGTACTGTCTTAAAAAGACTGATTTTTATATACATAGTACTTATGTTTCTAGTATATAGATCTGTCATTCATGAGGAATATACAATGTTAACTATATCAAACAGCCTTTTAATATTTTCTAGCTATTCTAGTAATTTGGGGGGAACAGATATGAGTTTAAGAGGAATCAAGACTGTTGCCTTTGATACCTTAGTACAACTGATATCAATTGTTTGTTTTTTAATCCTGTATAAAAGTACCATAGTAACAGATCAGTTTAATAATCTGTAGTGAGTGTATCTATTATGCATAAGGCATGCAAAATGACTTCACTGCCCATAATCAGGTCAAATTTAGTCTGTTACTTCAATTCCAAATAAAGTGGTAAAACATTATTCCAGAATGTTTTGGAACCCGGGAGTCCATTCTCCAAAAGTTGTTTTGACTTCACTGGCATTTTAGACCTCTGCTCTTTCCCCCTTCTCCCTGGGTTAGTAGTCGGCTTTCCCCAATATGTTTCATGTCTGCCATTTTTCATAGAACCTTTTCTTTTACTCACTTTTGGGGACGGTGTTCCGTCTTCCTGACTTTCGTCTCCACCTATCTCCTTGTACCCCCCTTCTTCCCTACCAAATGCTTCTTCTTCCTCCTCATTGTCGACACCACACCTTCCATTTCCTTCTCTTTCTTCCCCCTCTTCCTCTCCTCCGCCTTGTCCCTCTTCTTCCTCCTCTCCCTCCTCTTCCTCCTCTCCCTCCTCTTCCTCCTCTCCCTCCTCTTCCTCCTCTCCCTCCCCTTCCTCCTCTCGCTCCCTTTCCTCCTCTTCATCTTCTCTCTCCCCTTCCTCTTCTTCCTCCTCTCCCTCCCCTTCCTCGTCTCCCTCCCCTTCCTCATCTCCCTCCCCTTCCTCGTCTCCCTCCCCTTCCTCGTCTCCCTCCCCTTCCTCGTCTCCCTCCCCTTCCTCCTCTCCCTCCCCTTCCTCGTCTCCCTCCCCTTCCTCCTCTCCCTCCCCTTCCTCCTCTCCCTCCCCTTCTTCCTCTTCCTCCCCTTTTTCCTTCCCCTCCCCTTCCTTTCCCCCCTCCCCTTCCTCCTCTTCTTCCTCTTCCCCCTCCCCTTCCTCCTCTTCCCCCTCCCCTTCCTCCTCTCCCTCCTCTTCCCCCTCCCCTTCCTCCTCTCCCTCCTCTTCCCCCTCCCCTTCCTCCTCTCCCTCCCCTTCCTCCTCCCCCTCCCCCTCTCCTTTTTCTTCCTCTCCTCCCCCTTCCTCCTCTCCTTCCTTTGACCCTCCTCCCTCCTCTTCCTCCCCTGGCTTCACTACCCTTCCTCTGTCTTTCTCTTTCCTATGTCCTTCCTTGTTTCCCTCCTCTTCCTCCCCACCACTTCGCCCCTCTGATGTGTCTTCTCCTCCCTCTTTCTCTTCTTCTTCCTCTTCCCTCCCCTCTTCTGGCTCTTCTTCCTCCTCTTCCTCTTTTTCATTTCCTTCATCCTCTGCTTCGCTTTCTTCGATCTCTTGGTTTCCTTCATCCCTCTCCGTTTGCTCTCCTCCCGTACACCCCTTCTCCCATCTTTCCTCCTCCTCTTCCAGAACCAAGACGTGCCTTTCTCCTTTACTCTTCCCTGTCGTCTTCCTTTGGTCTTCCTGCACCCTTGGCCACTGTTCTGCTTCTAATCTACCCTTTGCACAGTTTTCATCCCTTTCGCCCTCAGAGCCATCCTCCACCTCTCCCCCTGACTCTCCCTCACTTTCACTCACCTCTTTTTCTGTACTGGCATCTGACAGGCTTTCTGCTTCCTCCTCCTTCCTTTCTACTTCCACTTGCACATTTTCCTCTTGGACCTGAACCACTTGCTCCCCTACTGCACCTCTCTCTGGGTCCTCTGGGCCTTCCTGCTCCTCTGGGATCCCTGACAAGTGGTCATGCTGAATATCGTATTTGGCAGCGAGTCTGGCTGCCTTGGGCTCACTGTCGCTGTCTTGTTCGGCACACTTCCTGCTGTACCAGAGGCAGGGCTCAGTTTCCACCTCATCGTCATCTTTCTCGTCACTACCAGGTTCTACTGCCTTGGCCTGCTCCACCTCCTCAGCTCTGTCTGACTGACTCTGCCTTTCATATTCCATGTAACTGTCTGGTTCTTCTAGCGCTTCTGTTTCACTGTCGAAGATCAAATTCTGCTCATCGCTCTTCCTCTCCTGAGCAGTGTCTTTATTCTCTTCGCTCTCGGGAGTCATGTCTTTATCTTGGAAGTCATCAAAAAGGGCATCTGACTTGGCATTCTCTTCTCCTTCACTACTATCTTTCACACTTGCCATGTCCACCACCTCAGTTCTCTTCTCAGGGGCTATTTCTTCCATACTTTCCTGTTCTAGATCCTCTTTTTGTAAACCCTTTTCATCAGTGCTGACCTGAGGCCCCGCCTGGTCTAGGCCATTACCTACTTCCTCTTCTGAAAATGCTCCCATAATCTCGGGGGGTCGTATCATGAAGATCCCTTTTGCTAAATATTGTTTGTATACTGTCCCTTCTTTTACTTTGGACATCTCTTCATATTCATAACTATCATCATTTTCAGTACAAGGTGTACTTTCCATCACTTTCTCAACCATGTCTTGATTCTGCAAAGTTTTTGAAGTAACCATCAAACTATTAGTCGTTGACAAAGGCATCAGAGTTATATAAATCACTCTAAAGATTTTACATTTGCATCTACAAGCTAACAGGTGGTGAAGGCTCACTAATTTAAACTTTATAAAGTGTGATACATGCTTATAAATTAACAAGCTAATATATAGAAATAGTCTAACAGATATAATCATTTTTACCCACTAAAGCAGGCCTGACAGAGCCTAACAGAAAAGCAGTATGTGAAATATGGACTACATACCCATTTAAAAAGAAGGGGTTCCCATTTCTACTGTTTCCAGGTCTGTTCTTTAGGAAGTTTTGAAATTTGAATCCTAAGGGAGACAGGCCTAACTGCCAGAACTCATTTCTAACTGTATGTGTCTTTCTTTTCCTAGCACCCTAGAAAACTTCAAGTCTAGTATCTAAGTCAAGAGGAAGGAAAGACACAGGAAAGATGGCTGCTAGAGGCAGAGTCCATCACTGAGGTCATGAGCACTCATGAGCCTAGCCAGCCATGTCAAGAGAACAGCTCGCCCATGTTCAAAGACGTACGTACCTCTCACTTTAGAGGGCTACCTACGTGATTTTATAATTCAACAAGATCTTCCTGCATTTTATAGGATCTGGTTTTAAGAATTTTTAATCTAACGATGTAGCAAAGGCAGTAGAAAATAGAAATTAATGATTTCCAAAGCCAAACCTCAAACTAAATTGCTTTATTTCAGTAACTTCCGAATACCTCATATTTTTATTTCATTGGCCCCTAAAGTCAGGACAAGCAAAATAATAAAGAGCAGGTCTTCATTTATTTAGGGTTGTGGAAACCACAGACTGTTTTTTGCTCCTGATATTTTTACTAACTAAAGTCTCTCTTTCTTACCCATCTACAGCTGCTTACTAATTTCCAACTTTCATTTAAATCCGACTTTATGCTAATCCTTCCTTGATAAATAAAGTCCAATCCAAATATCATAAAATGATTATCAAATAGTTTATACTAAAATATCCACACAATTTTAGAGTTAGAAAGATGTGAATATTATCCAGCAAAGTCTACATAGTGACTCACTCAAAGTCATATACAACCAAATTATGAGATATATTCTGATAAACAGTAGCCTCTTCCCCCAAGTATGAGGTATGATGACTATCCACTGCTTGGCAGAAAAGAATCATCATAACTTAGGTAAATAAGTGGATGAGCAAATTCTAGCAATAAAATTCTATGAGAAAATATATACCAATAAAAGAAACAAAACAGAAGTAATCTACGTTGCATTCCTGTCTTTTAAATTTTAATTTAATTTTAATGTAAGTGAATGATTACCTTTTTGTCTTCTTTTCAAAAAAATTTCAAAGAAAGATAATTAAAACTGTTCTTCCCCACCACAATAATAACAATAACTCTACGTGTTATACCTGTTGTTTTTGAATTGGTGAAAATTCTAATGACTTCTCATTGGAACTCAGGTTCATCACATGTGTCTGAAATAAATAAAAATGTATGTTCTAGATAAAACGGAAAAATTATATATGAATAATGAATACAAAGAAACTCAGACATTACTCCAATCTACCTACACCTGCCATAGTAACGGTGTCAGGATAGAAAAGCTGCTGAGAACTCCACGAACAGACCTCATACTCAAGATACAGCAGCTTCCAGGAACTCAGTGCTGTCCAGCTTCTCTATATTAGAAGCAAAACAGGAGTCCTTCCTACTTGTTTCGGTGGATGAGTACAGGAGAGTGGCGGAATGCGACACTGGAGGGACAGATGCTTAAAGAGGGCTGGAGCCGAGCAATAGAATTACGAGAAAAGAGGTGTCCCAAGACCAGCGGCATGGCAGTTGGCACGGGGCAAGAGAAGAGTGGACCAAGGGATGGTAAGAGTGAATGACAAAACGCCCCAGCGAGCGCCACCAATGGAGAGTCTGGTTCTCAGGGAAATCCTGGCAGGAGCTAACAGACTTCTGAATTTAGCCTCCATGGGCCTAGATTTAAAAAGATACAACCATTTATTAATTCAATAAAATACTGTGTCTCACGACATTCTCACACATGCAGAGTGTGTACTTCAGCCACACTTCCCTACCACCCTTTCTCACCCCACTGTCCCTGCCCCCTACATAGTTCTCCTTCTACTTTCATGCCAGATTTTTTTCTTTTCAATCAAGAGAGACAAAATGTCGTATCTGTCTTTCTGAGTCTGTGGGCTTATGGTTGGTTTCCTCTGAGCTGTGGCACTAAATACCACTCACCAATCAGCTTTAGAACTATAAGAAATTACTGTGGGGCTGGGGAAGACACACAGTCTAGATAGACAAGAGACTTAAAATCAGTACTGTACGCTTGTTCTGGAGAATTTCTCTGTATTTCCAAGGTTATTCTCGGAGTGCTCTAACTGGGGAGCCATCTTGTGATGGCTAATGCTTAAGTGCTCTGTGAATTAAAGCTTCCTATATTTCCCTATCTTTGCAACCAGGTTGTGTAGCGATTTCCTCCTAATTGAAGCATTCCATCTTGAAGGGACGCTCACTAAGACTTAGGAAATTAACAAATCACAAGTCTCAAGAAGTCACTGAAACGGATAAGATTCACACAGTCTCTTTCCAGGTTATATAAGCAGTAAGGACGACTGGTGAGCCGAGGCTCTCTGACCTGTTGAGTCGCCTTCAAGTTCTATAGGAGATTCCAAGGAGGTAATTTCGGGGCAGCATCACACATACTGGGATCGGATTTTCAGTGATAAGATTTTCAGAGATGACCTTGGAGTCTGCTATGCACTTGGATGTAACCCTCACACACATTGCTGTAAGTAGCCCACATTGGTTGATCACGTGGGCCTTTGGTGGTATTGTTAATTTGGTCTGTTAGTTCCCTATATGGGATGGATGCATGTTTGTTCATACATTCCAAGCAAAAGCTGCACAACAGTTTCCAGGCAATATTGCATGGGTTTGCTAGGCAGCAGCCAGAGTCAGGTTGGCCTAGGGGAAGAGATTCTGACACCCCCCCCCCCCCATGAGAATTCTCTGCAGTGGGAAACTAGAATGCAATGCTGAGTGGAAAGGGAGGTGCTTTCCTTGAAAACAGGAGCCTCAGGAATTCAACTTTCCCAAACTAGAGCAGAGTTGTATAGATTCTACATGATAGCCACCTGTGTGTGCACAGAGAGGGTGGATTACCAGACTGACACTGTACAAATCACGTCAAAACTTAACTGTTCACTGCCAAATATTCCACACAAATGTTATAGCAGGAAGTTGAATTGCAATTCAACTCAACACTACACAATAAACTGATACCTCAAGGTACACCATAAGGAAAGAGGTGCTAAGTAAGGAGGCTTTCACATAATAGTGTTAGACACATCCATTCCAACAAATGTGTAAATCTGAACACAAAAACATACTATGAAGGCTGTGGCCATTAGACCCTATAGTAAGTTCAAGGCCAGGCAGAACCAAAGAGTGAATTCTAAGACAGAATGGCTACAGAATGAGATAGAATCTCAATGGCAATCAATAAACAATCAAGCCATGAGAGGAAACACTTGGTTACATTTAAAGGCAAATCAATTAGAATAAGAGATTTATCAGCATAATTAAAGACTAAAGAGAATGGAATAAAGATGTATTTCAATTAATAGAAAAAATCTGCCAATCAAGATTAGCATACCAAATATGCTGGCTAGTTTTCTGTCAACTTGACACAAGCTATTGTCATCAGAGAGGAGGGAGCCTCAATTGAGAAACTGCCTCCATAATATTGGGCTGTAGGCAAGCCTGTAGGGCATTTTCTTAATTAGTGATTGATGTTAGAGGGCCCATTCCATTGTCAATGGTGCCATTCCTGGGCTAGTGATTCTGGATTCTATAAAAAAAAAAAAAAAGCAGGCTGAGCAAGCCATGAGGAGCAAGCTAGTAAGCAGCACCCCTCCATGGCCTCATCAGCTCCTGCCTCCAGGTTCCTGCCCTGCTTGAGTTCCTGTCCTCATTGCCTTTGATGACAAACTGCTATATGGAACTGTAAGTAAAATGTGAAATAAATCCCTCTTCCCTAAGTTGCTTTTGGTCATGGTGTTTCATCACAGCAACCGTAACCCTAAGACACCTAGCAAAGCTATCCTTCAAAATCAAAGGAGAAATAAAGACCTTCCAAAATAAGTATGCATCAACGTAAGTCATGACTAACAGACCAGCATCACAGAAGACAATTAAAGCAATCCTACACCTAGAAAAAAAAAAAGGAGAGCACACACAATCATGAAAGCACTGAAAAGAATCCATCTCACTGTAAGAACAGGCATACATGTGAGAAACAGCTAACCACCACTTCTAGCATGAGAGGAAGACATTCTAAGACAAGAAATAAACAGTTTTTGTTTTTTTTTTAAAGAACCAAATCAGTAACATATATACACCTTTCAATAATAACTTGAATGTAAATGGTGTTAATTTACCAATTAAAAGACATCAATTGGGTGACTGTATTTAAAAGAAAAGAGCAATATGCTTTATGGAAAAATTGTATCAAGAAAACATACGAGAACTGAGAGAGATGGAGATTTATTTCAAAGTGAATGGAATCTGAACATAAGCAGGAGTAGCTACACTAATATATTACAAAATAAACTGAAAGCCAAAATTAGAAACCAGGACTGTCACTACATATTAATCAAGGGAATAATTCATGAAAAAAATGAAATATATATATATACACATACATAATACGTGTGTGTGTGTGTGTGTGTGTGTGTGTGTGTATTTACCAAATACTGAAGCACTCAATTTTATGAAATAAAATACCACTAGAGATAAGGGGAAAGATAGGCTCCAACACAATAATAGTGGTGACTTTAGTACCGTACTCTTATCCAAGCAAACAATCAACACAGTAATGTCCCATATTTTTCAACAGATATAGAATGCACATTTCTTGACATCAGCATATGAAACTTTTTCCAAAATAGACCATATGTAAGACCATAAAGGAAAATTTCCAAAATTCAAAAACATTTTAATTTCTGATCTCTTATCAGACCACATGGAATAAAAATGAAAATAATAGAAATTGACAGAAATAAAAACTATAATGGAAACACAATATACCAGAACCTGTGGGCTACAGAGAAAGCTGTATAAAAAGGGATGTTCATAGCAGTAAGTGCTGAAGGAAAGCAAGCAAACAAAATAGCCAGAGAGATCATAAAATGTACCAATGCATCTCAAGGCCTTTGAAACACAACAACACAGCAGAACCCAAATCAGGAGATGGAAAGAAATAATACACAATAAAGATCAGATCAGAAATGAATTCAATGCAGATTAAAAGATCAGCACAAAAGATCAATGAAACAAAGAGCTACATCACTGAAACTAACTAAATGGATAACACCTTAGCTAAACTAACCAAAGAGAAAAAAAAGATCCAAATGCACAAATAAGAGATAAAAATGGGACAATGTGGAGAAAAAGAAACACTTCAAACCCTTAGTAGAGATGTAAATTAGTACAGCCTTGATGGAAAACAGTACAAAGGTTTCTCAAAAACCTAAAAATAGAACTATTCATTATTTAAAAATAGCTATTTGAACTATTATTAAATTACTAATTATTATGTATTTCTAATTATTAAAACTATTATTTAAAAATAAAATAATATAATTCGACTAGTCTGAGGTTTGTATGTGAGGGAAAAGAGGTGAGCATACAAAAGAAATACCTGATACCCAGGTTTAGTGCAATAAAAGTCATTAGCTAAGTTAATGGATTCTGTCAACAGATGAATGGAGAAAGAAAAATACTCTCTCCCTCCCCTTTCTCTCTCTCCCCCACATCCACCTCCACACATGGGAGTGAGTGATTAATTCAGCCATAAGGAATAATTAACTCATGCCATTTTCAGGAAAATGGATATAACTGTAGGACACATGCTAAGCAATCTAACACAGACAAAATATTACGTTTTCTCTCACAAACAGAAACTAAAAGGAAAGATGACCTAAAAGTAGAAGGTGGACTGTTAAAGGGAAGGGAGGGGGCTGGCAGAAGGGAGTAAGTGTAGAGTAAGAGAGGGTCAAGGGAGGGTACACATGATCAAAGCTTGACTTATGAAGGTATGGAAATGTCACAGTGAAACCCACTAATACTAGTATGTGCTATTAGATATTAACAAAAATCAGCTTTTACACATAAAAGAATATAAAAATATATACACACAAGTTCATGAGGATCTCAAATGAACATAACTCATATCTAAATAGACAGGAAGTAATTACCATATTTAAGACATCAGTAGTTTCACCAAGGTTTTCTGACTCCACTGCTGAAGAATTTTCTGTCTCTGTCTCTTTGTTCATTTTATCTTCAAAATAATCTGAATGAATAAAAGCAAAAGTCAGGCTCAGATCTAACAGAAATGAGAAAAGCAAATGAACCCAAAATCGCTCTATAATGCATCATGGGGTGTGATTGCGTCCAAGGCCCTTTACTCTCGTGGGGAGAGATGGACGGTAGTCATTCCTAGCAGCAGCGCATTTTCAAATCTCATACTCCAAGGTTAATTTCTTGCCAATCACGAAGCAACAACGTCATTCACAAGGATGTGCAAACACTATTCCTTTGGAATAGGTATTTCTGAGTGGAACTGTATGTATCAAGAGCCTGAGACAGTCCCAATGACACACTCTCCCCTGGTACTCTTATCTCGGTGTAGCTCCCCATGCAAATGGTATGGGGTTGAGTTCTATGTGTACGATCGATCAAATAAAGTGGACACAACTGTGACATGACTAGAGTTTCTTAGTCCCACACGTGTCTTAGATCTTTGTGACTCCTTGCTCCATATTGGGAGCATTTCTATGGAAAAGCCTATATGGCAAGGCTGTGAAGTGCCCTGCTAATGGTCACATGAACAAGCTAGAAGTCCAGTCAAGCTTCCAGATACTAACATCCCATTTAACAGTGCAAGTCCATGAAAAGAGCTTGAGCATGAAACATTCAGCCAAGCTGCGCCTGGATTCTTGACTCTTAGAAGTTGTGTGAAATAGCTATGATTTTGACCTGTTAAATTGTGGTCATTTTTAAATGTAGCAATGAAAAACTAGTGTAAGCACTTAGAAATTTAAAAAAGTAATATCACAAAATATCATAAAGGCAGAAAATTCAAAATCAATTGGCTCTATTTGAACTTACACTTTTGTCCATTTGTAACTGCCCTTTTTGATCACCTGACCATCTATGGAGTACTCCCTGATGAAATCGCCATTAAAAATGTCAGCATACTGCTGAGACTTAGAGGCCGGCCCCCAGCTCCCATCTTGCTCCGGACTTCCCTTTTGGAACACTGCTCCCATCTTGCTCCGGACTTCCCTTTTGGAACACTGACTTCCCTTTTGGAACACTGGTCTGTCTGAACCAAGTGTGCGGATAAGGCCAAGAACGAACCACAAGGAGATGGGCAGACATCAAGGCAGAAACATATACAACAAAATGAATAGCAATACAGCATCACCAGGCCCTAGCCCTCCTCCAACACCTAGACCTGAACATCAGAAATTGGAAGAAGCAGAAGAAAACAGCCTTATGAATGACATCATGAAGAAGCTAGAGGCTTGTGTAGAGGAAAAGACAAAAAAATGTGAAGAACGCTGTAAACAACTAGAGGAAAGGGCAAACAAATTAGAAGAAATCAATAAAGTCCTGGAAGAAAACAATAAAATACTGAGAGAAAATCAAGAAAAATCAATGAAACAAATGAAGGAAACAGTCCAAGACCTGAAAAGGGAAATAGAAAAAATGAAGAAGACACAAACAGAGGGAATGCTGGAAATAGAAAATCTGAGAAAACGATTGGGAACTTCAGATGCAAGTATAATCAACAGAATGCAAGAGATGGAAGAGAGGATCTCTAGCGTTGAAGATACAGTAGAAGAAATACATTCATCAGTCAAAGAAAACACTAAAGCCAACAAAGTCATGAACCAAAATGTCCAAGAAATTTGGGACACCATGAAAAGACCAAACCTAAGAATAATAGGGGTCGAAGAAGGAGAAGAATACCAACTCAAGGGCACAGAAAATATATTCAACAAGATCATAGAAGAAAACTTTCCCAACTTAAAGAAGGAAATGCCTATGAAGATACAAGAAGCTTATAGAACACCAAACAGACTAGACCCCCAAAAAAAGTCCCCTCGCCACATAATAGTTAAACAACTAAACGTACAGAATAAAGAAAGAATATTAAGAGCAGCAAAGGAAAAAGGCCAAGTGACATATAAAGGCAAACCCATCAGAATAACACCCGATTTCTCAATGGAGACTTTGAAAGCCAGAAGAACCTGGACAGATGTAATGCAGACACTAAGAGACCATGGATGTCAGCCTAGACTAATATACCCAGCAAAACTTTCAATCACCATAGATGGAGTGAACAAGACATTCCATGACAAAGCCAGATTTAAACAATACTTATCCACAAACCCAGCCCTACAGAAAGCACTAGAAGGAAAATTCCAACCTAAGGAAGTCAGATACACCCTCGAAAACACAGGCAACAGATAAAGCCACAACAGTAAACCCCAACGTATAGAAGTACCCACACATCACCACCAAAAAATAACAGGAATGAACAATCACTGGTCATTAATTTCCCTCAATATAAATGGACTTAATTCACCTATAAAAAGACATAGGCTTACAGAATGGATACGAAAGCAGGACCCGTCTTTCTGCTGCATACAAGAAACACATCTCAAATTCAAAGATAGACACTACCTAAAAATAAAAGGCTGGGAAAAGACTTTCCAATCAAACGGTCTTAAGAAACAAGCGGGTGTAGCCATCCTGATATCCAGCAAAATAGACTTCAAACTAAAATCAATCAAAAGAGATCAAGAAGGGCATTACATACTCATCACAGGAAAGATCCACCAAGATGAAGTCTCAATTCTGAATATTTATGCCCCAAACACAAGGGCACCCACATATGTAAAAGAAACATTACTAAAGCTTAAATCACATATAAAACCCCACACATTAATAGTGGGAGACCTCAACACCCCACTTTCACCACTGGACAGATCTCCCAAATTGAAACTTAACAGAGAAATAAAGGACTTAACTGATGTCATGACTCAAATGGACTTAATCGATATCTACAGAACATTCCATCCTAACAAAAAAGAATATACCTTCTTCTCAGCACCCCATGGAACCTTCTCTAAAATTGACCACATACTTGGCCACAAAACAAATCTAAACAGATACAAAACAATTGGAATAACCTCCTGTGTTCTATCAGACCACCATGGTCTAAAGTTGGATTTCAACAACAACAAAAACTACAGAAAACCTGCAATCTCATGGAAACTGAATAATACCCAACTGAATCACCAATGGGTTAAGGAAGAAATAAAGAAAGAAATTAAAGACTTCCTAGAGATCAATGAAAATGAAGACACCACATATCCAAATTTATGGGACACTATGAAAGCAGTACTAAGAGGGAAATTCATAGCACTAAATGCCCACATAAATAAGTTGGAGAAATCTCACACTAGAGACTTAACAGCATACCTGAAAGCTCTAGAACAAGAAGAAGCACAGTCTCCCAGGAAAAATAGACGCCAGGAAATTATCAAAGTGAGAGCTGAAATCAATAAAATAGAAACAAAGAAAACAATACAAAAAATTAATGAAACAAAGAGTTGGTTCTTTGAGAAAATCAACAAGATAGACAAGCCCTTATCCAAACTAACCAAAAGACAGAGAGAGAGCATCCAAATCAACAAAATCAGAAATGAAAAGGGGGACATAACAACAGACATTGAGGAAATCCAGAGAATCATCAGGTCATACTTCAAAAACCTCTATTCGACAAAACTGGAAAACCTAAAAGAAATGGATAACTTTCTGGATAGGTACCACATACCTAAGTTAAATCAAGACCAGATAAACTATTTAAATAGTCCAATAACCCCTAACGAAATAGAAACAGTCATTAAAAGTCTCCCAACCAAAAAAAGCCCAGGACCAGATGGTTTCAGTGCAGAATTCTACCAGATCTTCAAAGAAGAGTTAATACCAATACTCTCTAAATTGTTCCACACAACAGAAACAGAAGGAACATTACCAAACTCCTTCTACGAGGCTACAATTACCCTAATTCCTAAACCAAACAAGGATACAACAAAGAAAGAGAACTACAGACCGATCTCCCTCATGAACATTGATGCAAAAATACTCAATACTGGCAAACAGACTCCAAGAACACATCAAAACAATTATCCACCATGATCAAGTAGGATTCATTCCAGGGATGCAAGGGTGGTTCAACATACGAAAGTCCGTCAATGTAATACACCATATAAACAAACTCAAAGAAAAAAACCATATGATCATCTCACTGGATGCAGAAAAGGCATTTGACAAAATCCAACACCCCTTCATGATAAAGGTATTGGAGTGATCAGGAATACAGGGAACATACCTAAACATAATAAAGGCAATTTACAGCAAGCCAACAGCCAACATCAAATTAAATGGAGAGAAACTCAAAGCAATTCCACTAAAATCAGGAACGAGGCAAGGCTGTCCACTCTCCCCATACTTATTCAATATAGTACTTGAAGTTCTAGCCAGGGCAATAAGACAACATAAGGAGATTAAGGGGATACAAATTGGAAAGGAAGAAGTCAAGCTTTCCCTATTTGCAGATGACATGATAGTATACTTGAGCGACCCCAAAGATTCCACCAAGGAACTGATACAGCTTATAAACACCTTCAGCAACATAGCAGGATACAAGATCAACTCAAAAAAATCAGTAGCCCTCCTATATACAATGGACAAAGAAGCGGAGAAGGAAATCAGAGATACATCACCCTTTACTATAGCCACAAATGACATAAAATACCTTGGGGTAACACTAACCAAGCAAGTGAAGGACCTATATGACAAGAACTTTAAGTCCCTGAAAAAAGAAATTGAAGAAGATGTCAGAAAATGGAAAGATCTCCCATGCTCATGGATAGGCAGGACTAACATAGTAAAAATGGTAATCTTACCAAAAGCAATCTACAGATTCAATGCAATCCCCATCAAAATACCAACACAATTCTTCACAGACCTGGAAAAAATAATACTCAACTTCATATGGAAAAACAAAAAACCCAGGATAGCCAAAGGAGTCCTGTACAATAACACAACTTCTGGAGGCATCACGATCCCTGACTTCAAGCTCTACTATAGAGCTACAGTAATAAAAACAGCTTGGTACTGGCATAAAAACCGACATGTGGACCAATGGAATCGAATTGAAGACCCTGACATTAATCCGCACACCTATGAACATATAATTTTTGACAAAGAAGC